TTATGTATAAATTCTATTTTAAATTATAACGCTATAAGTATTCTAGTTGAAAGAGAACGCATATGTTAAATAAACTCGCCCTTGTTTACTTATTTTTGCCAATTTTTTTGTGAGTCGCCTACAATTCAGCAGCTTAAGTTATTTAATTTAATTTTAATTAATTTAAGTCTTTTAGTCGATTCAATGTGTAGCGTAACTTATGCACGCCTCACGTATTTCAGTCAAGTAAGACGAAATAATCAAACATAAGCAAAATTAAATACAAACTTATTTATAATTCAAACAAAAGCAGTTTTACGAAACAATTAGATTAATTCATATTTAAAAAAAAAAACGAACGCACGTAATTTGGCGAGAGGTTGACACTTGGCTTCGTTCGCAACTTAATAACTACGTTTTCATGAAGCCATAATTACGTTTAAGAACTATAAAAGAGTAGTTAACATGAATAGATGGTATCATATTTCCATTCCAAGGGTTGTTCTTACAAGGATATAAAAGTGTATTTTTTCTCGTTGTTGTTTTATAACAATCAATCAAAACAATTTTTATGTGGATTATAAGAACACGATTTTTGTTCGTAAAATCAATAACGTAACCAACAAAAGAACAGACAAACAAAAACAAAAGTTGATTATTCTTTCAGATAATTTTACGTCACACATCTATTAACATTATGACTTTAGATTTATTGGTCATTGATAATTTCAATCAACCACAATACACATACAACATACATACAACCACAGTATGATAGTAAAAGAGAAAGTGGAGAGACACGTATTTATTTATTTATTTATTCAACTTCATGCACAAAGGTACAATGCGGACTTAATGGCTGAGGCATTCATTCTCTATCAGTCAATCAAGGGTGACGTAGAGTCATGTGGTAGTCGCATTACGTACAATACGTACACAATATTATATCATGATAATAATATAAAATTTACACATATATCTATACTTCTATAATTCTATACTAATATTATAAAGAGGAAAAATTTGTTTGTTTGTTTGTATTGAATAGTCTCCAAAACTACTGAACCGATTTGAAAAATTATTTCACTGTTTAGAAGCTACACTATTCCCGAGTGACATAGGCTATAATCTTTTTTGAAAAAAATTAGGGATTCTTACTAAAAGTCCAATAATGTAACCCAAGGTGTAAAAAAAATACCTAAAATATTCTTTACATCGCGTGCCCTGCGAAAACTATTGATGATAGAATAAAATAATGTACTACGACTTTGTAGAACACATTATTTACAAACAGTGTCACGACAGCATATGTTTAACTATTATAGCTAAGCCGCAATAAGTGTTCTTTTATTTTAAAAAATAAAACAACATCAAATGTCGTTGAAATTTTTGTTAAAGGCCCGAGCGGAGCCGGAGCGGGCCGCTTGTCTATATATAAATTCACATACATATATAATCATATACACATTTTTACACAACATAAAAATATAACACATTTATCAGATATAAAGAAGAATATAGTATAAGTATAAGATTATAATAGTATATTGCATAGAACACACTAGATTGCGAGTCGAATTTTTATGTTTTCGCCAATTCATTCGTAAAAAGTTACCGAACGTTTATTTTGAAAGTTAAGCGATCAGTGATAATCCTAACATTAAGAGGAAGTGAATTGCAAAGTTGACGTACTTATTGTTTTATTAACTTTAAATCTGACATACGGAACTTTTTTTTTTGACGTTCGTGTATATTACTTTCCGGATACCCGGCCCAGTGGGTAGCTGACTGCCCATCTGAATCTAGCTCCTGGATGGGCGGCCTCTTCACAGAAAATTTTAGCATTTTAAAGTGAAGCTTGATTACTTTATTACAACGGATGAAGGTATCGACCTAAACATGCCCTCTACATAATTTACATTCAGTACCTGTAATGACTTGTGAATTTTAAGTTTATTTATAGTACGTGATTCTAATCAAATATTGTGTCGGACTACAATAAAAATAAATATACCGAAGAGAACGATTTACTTATGCGAAAGGTTTATTCGTTTCTGAATGCAAAGAGTTTGAATCACCAGCAGCACTATTTTGCATAAAGTAACACTTGCGTTTGAATATCAAACCATATATGAATATAGTCGAGGTTGACAACTTGGCACTGGCATCACCGTGAAATAGAGTCGCTAAAATTACTTTCCGTATGAATGCGTTTTTGTACAACCATCATAAGAAATACGCCAGTGACTCAAATTGGAATGTTTGTTTAATTTTAAGGAAAAATGCAAATTTATTTATCTTTGTGTGTTAATTTGTGTGCTCTACTACGCCACTAGCCATGTGATCAGCCACGAAATCCTTATAGTCTTATCTTATACATTTGTTAGTCTGTTGTACTAGCTATCTTGCTCTGGCCCAAGCAACACTGCATTTCTTTATAAATAGTAGATCATCATTATTTCTAGTTTGGTCAATGCGACTAGTACTTAATATTTTTCTTTTACTGAATGCCTTAGTTTTAATCGCTTTCAACTCATCACTTATGCATTTGTATGAATGTACCTTAGTGTTAAAAATGGACAAATATTGATGAAAACTCAGAATACAAATAACATGATAAAGAAGACAGAAGCGTTGTCGTAACTGCCAAAAATAAATAGATACGAATATATTAAGTTCGTTTCTTAAATTCCGAATTGAACAAAGAGTTAATTGTATTGTATAAATCAGATTTATTTTATATAATATATTTTTATTTATCTTTTTAATTAGGTCCGAATAATTAGTCGCATTTGCGCTTTTTGCATGAGCGTGGGCAGAGTCGTAAAAGTGCGATACCCGGCTCTAAATTGCAATAAAGAATCGGGAATAAATAACAAACGGTCATCTAGCGCCGAACTAATATTCCCTGTACTACCAGAACCAAAAGCGGATATATATACGTATATGTAAGATATGAAACATCATGTTATATGATACAAAATTTAATTTAAGGCGTACTGAGGAAACACATTAAAAGATATGATGGACTTAAATAAGGTTTCCCATATTTATTTTCAATTATGTTTAAAGTAATAAAATGTTATTTGTTGCAATTAAAGGCAAAACGACCACATGGTCCTCCTGTTAGCAAGCGGTCACCATTGTAGATACCATCAATTCAATTGATTAGATAAAAATACATAATACATATTAATAGCATTTGCTACCATGTAATCAACATCAAACCCGTAATTCGGTTTGGATTATACCTATGTAATATTTCCTTCAGTTTTCGAGACACTCTTACTGGTGGTAGGACCTCTTGTGAGTCCGCACGGGTAGGTACCACCACCCCGCCTATTTCCGCCGTGAAGCAGTAATGCGTTTCGGTTTGAAGGGTGGGGCAGCCGTTGTGACTATACTGAGACCTTAGAACTATATCTCAAGGTGTGTGGCGCATTTACGTTGTAGATGTCTATGGGCTCCAGTAACCACTTAACACCAGGTGGGCTGTGTACTCGTCCACACATCTAAGCAATAAAAAATAAATAAATAAAAACTCGCAGATTAAATTGAAACTGCTTTTGTGTCTTAATATTGCGTTTATTTTTTCAGATTAGACGGCAGTTAGCTCAAGATACAAGTGTCAACAAATAACAACTTAATCATCTTTTACCGCCAACGTAAAGTATTCGAAACACGAAGATAATAAACGCGAGATTTAGCTGAAAAAGGGGCTCATCCTTTTAGGTATGGCTGCCATACTAATATTAGTTTCATAATCCCACAAAAACTACTCGATGTCTCAAAGAATAGTTATTGCTTTATTATCTTTAAAATAAAAGGCTCATTAAAGGTTCAACGCCTGTTTTTTTTAACTAATTTAAAATCTATTTAAATCTAAAAAGTCAGTAGATTTTCTTTTAATTCACAATGGCTGACACATATAAAAATGAAGAGAAATTTTCACTAGACTGTCTGAAAAATCTTCATAATTAGATACACCGATATTTAAGACGGAACATGTTATAAATAAACTATATCCGCTTTTTTTTTCCACATTAGCATACATATGGAATTTAATAAAGCTAACAAAATTGTAGTTTCTGTGAGAACACCAGCGGTGTCTTATCTCACTGTGCTTAACGACAGTCGTGCCCCTGCATGCACTCTACCACAAGTACTCTCACATATTGCTTATATTATATTATTATCTACTTTGAATATAATACACGACTTTAATATAAAGTTAGTAATATGATTAATAATATATTATCATTATGAGAGAGAGAAAGATAGAGAGAGAGAGAGAACATACATTATTGCCCACTCTTCCAGACAACCGTTTAATTACCCTAAATTATGTTAATGGTATTTATTACCTTTTTTAACCAATAGCTACACCACGGTTAGTTTCTTTCTAAGAATGATTAATGTCCACCTAATCGTTGTCTGGGCGTGATCGCTCTTATCAGCAAAACTTAGCGTCGATTGTACCTTCTGTCTTTAACGTTTTGTATTTGCTTGTGATTTTATATTGGTGGAAAGTAAAGCAAATTCTATCCACTTTATTTTTTATAACACTGGAATTACCAGTGTTTGGGAGAAAAGTCGTGTATAAGGTTAATTCGAGCTTTTTCAACACCATTCGAATTATTTCTCTAATACATTATTTTTGTGTTAAAAAATTCATAAGTCTATAAACAAATAGTTTTGGGAGTTAATTTATTAAATTACTGCATTAATATCACTCGTCCACCCACGGCAGCAGTATCTTTGCTTATTTTTCAAACTAACTTCCTGACCTTGTCATAATGTTATATGCATTATGCAATTCGACGAAGTAGATTCCCTGTGAGGTTTTGTGGTGGAGCATGAAAGTGAAAGGAGTGCCAGGGAAATATCAACGGCTTGTTCGAGCTAGGTACGGTATAGCCAGTACGTACGTACGCTCCGCAGCTGGCGATACCGACGAGTTCAGAGTGGCGGTAGGCTTACACCAAGGATCAGCTTTAAGCCCTTACCTGTTTATCCTAATAATGGATGCCCTAACATCGGACATACAGGAAGAGGCGCCTTGGTGTATGCTGTTTGCCGACGACATTGTTCTCGTTGGAGAGGAAGGGCCTGAGGTACAGAGAAGACTGGCAAAATGGAAAGAAAGGTTGGAAAACGTTGGTTTGAAGATCAGTCGAACAAAAACCGAGCACATGTTTTGTGATTTGGGTGGTTCTTCAGACTTCACGCCAATCGCCTTAGATGGTGTATCCCTGCCATGCTGCTTCGACTTCAAGTACCTCGGCTCTATACTTCAGAACGACGGCAACATAGACCGGGACGTCACTAATCGAATAAACGCTGGTTGGATGAAATGGCGACAGGTCTCTACAACAGCATGCGATCGTAGAATGCCCCTTCAGCTCAAGGGAAAAAATTACAAAACGATCATTAGACCTGTCGTGCTGTATGAATCGGAGTGTTGGGCGACGAAAGTAAAGCATGAAAGAAGAGTTCATGCGGCAGATATGCGAATGTCGAAATGGATATGTGGAGTGACAAGAATGGACAAGATAAAGAATGAGTATATCAGAGGAAGTGTGAAAGTGGCCCCGGTAAGCAACAAATTAAGGAGCGGACGGTTAGCGTGGTATGGACATGTGATGCGTAGAGAGAAGATGCATGTGACTAGGAGATGTATGGAAATGGTAGTGCAAGGTGGAGTGTGTGAATGACGATATGAGAGAGAGAGTAGTGAGTGTTGAGGTGACGGCTGATAGAAGAGAATGGAAGAGAAAAATTTGCTGTGCTCCACCTAGTGGGATAAGGTGGAGAAAAAGAAGAAAAGGTATGTGTGATTTTTCAGCTTATTTCTGGGACCAAATAGAAGTGCGTTCCGTTTTCCGTATATTCTTTATATAATAAAATTTAAATTTCGACTTCATGTCTCAAGGTAATACGTGGTATTCACTTTGTTATCTAAATGGACTTGGCACCAGGAGAAATGTGACTTCGTTCATTTATATATTGGAGAAAAAATATTCAGATGATGCAGTGTGTTGTGAGGCTAGACGAATGGCCTCCCTATTTCCAGACACGCTTTCCGATTCGAGATGAAGGCCGTGGTTATACTAATGCAGTTGAGGTGTCAAACTATGCTGGAACATGGAAACCAGCATTTGCGTTGAGTTCCATGAGTTTCCATAAGTTTTTCCTAAACCAAGCGCTATAAAAACAAAACCTCCTACTTGAAACTACACGTGTCTTGCGCTATGTACGTTCGAAATACATTTCCTGATTTTCCGTCTATGAGACAATACCGCAACTAAATATAATGATGTGGTTGTTAACAAAGAGAATTCGTTTCAAAAGACCCTCGCTTTATCCATATCATAAAAGAACGGTACAAAATAATGTACCATTTGTAATAAATATACATACATACGTATATATAACGAGAGATTATTAAAAGAAGAGTTCACAGTTGTTATATAGAACACTAGATGATGACCGAGCTCTGTTCGTTTTTTTTGGAACGAAGTTCCTTATCGCGCGTTGTGAAAGGGGGGGCTAGACGGAAAAAATTCTTACGAAAAGTTGTCACGACACTTTTTGCTATAGTAAGCTATTGTAAGCTGTGCGGCGTCGCATGTTTGTCTGTCTGTCTGTCTGTCTGTCTCTCTCTCTCTCTTATATAACATTATATTTGTTAATAATAAAAAAAATATTATTATAACTTAAAAAAAATAAAATTTTATTACAATTTCTTCACTAATTAATCGAAAGGAACTTCGTTCCATCCGGGTGTCCCTTGACACCTCTCAAGTTTTTTTTTTTTTATAACGCCATCTTGTTGTGTCTTTAAAGCAGAAAATAGTATTATTATTCGCCAATAGATGTCGGGAAGAGTCATAAAGTTGATTATCGATAAAGTTGATTATTGAAAACAACATTTTCTGAAAATAAATCGTAGCTAGATCGATTTATCGCCCCCGAAATCCCCCGTATACTAAATTTTATAAAAATCGTTGGAGCCGTTTCCGATATACTATATACAAGAATTGCTCGTTTAAAGTTATAAGATTTTCTCAAAACTTCATTCTGTGAGATCCGTATTTTTATTAACTGCCTCAATTGAAGTGTAACGACTTGGTATCATGATGTCCCTTTAGAGTCTATTTATCAATGTAAAAGCTAAAATAGCGAAATTTGATGTGGAGTGAATTAATTTGTGCTAAAATTGGAAAACCCAGCCCGCTTTGAGACATGACTCGAATTCCTAATTACATTAGAATAATCGTTAGCATATACTTACTGGTAGTAGAACCTCTTAAGAGTCCGCGCGGGTAGGTACCACCCCCGTGCCTATTTCTGCCGTGAAGCAGTAATGCGTTTCGGTTTGAAGGGTGGGGCAGCCGTTGTAACTATACTTGAGACCTTAGAACTTATATCTCAAGGTGGGTGGCGCATTTACGTTGTAGATGTCTATGGGCTCCAGTAACCACCTAACACCAGGTGGGGTGTGAGCTCGTCCAACCATCAAAGCAATAAAAAATAAAAAACATATGCTCATCCAACAGATGAACCACATGATTGTAGAGTTATGTAGTGTCGGAAAACGCTGTTTTTTTATTTTTTGCCTTGATGGGTGGACGAGCTCACGGCCCACCTGGTGTGAAGTGGTTACCGGATCCCCTAGACATCTACAACGTAAATGCCACCACCGACCTTGAGATATGACTTCTAAGCTCTCATTCTTCTATGTACAGAACAACGGCTGCCTAACCCTTCAAACCGAAAAGCATTACTGCTTCACGGCAGAAATAGGCAGGGTGGTGGTACCTATCCGCGCGTATCACAAGACGTGCTACCACCAGTAATTACGAAAACTATAATTTTGTGAGTTTCATTTTTATTACACGATGTTATTCCTTTAACCGTGGAAGTCAATCGTGAACATGAAAATTTGTTAAGTACGTATTTTATTAGAAAAATTGGTATAATATTTGCCTGCGGGATTCGAACATCGTTACATCGCTCGATACGAATGCACCGGGAGTCTTATTCTTTAGGCCACGACGACTTGATGATTAACTTTCTAGAGGGTGGATATACAGCCTCTTTTTTTATTGCTTAGATGGGTGTACGAGCTCACAGCCCACCTGGTGTTAAGTGGTTACTGGAGCCCATAGACATCTGCAACGTAAATGCGCCACCCACCTTGAGATATAAGTTCTAAGATCTCAGTATAGTTACAGTCTGGTAATGATACCATCAATCATCAGCTGTGTGGGGGCAGTATGCGATCATTAGTTGTTCTGCAAAAATAGCCAATTCGGTGTTAAGCTGGTATCGACCGATTCACATATATTTATTGTTAAGATGAGTCAACTAGCTCATGGCTTACCTCCTGTGCTTGCCTGACGTCATAATGTGAATTCCGCCACCCATTACATTTCAAAATACACAACAGATTCAAAGCCCAAATACGTGAGATAGTGGTACCCATATGGACTTATTATTAAAGCCAGTTAACGCCAGTTGGCGATGGCTTGTAATATTTATAAATACTTATAATATAATACTTATAAAATGCTGTTGCTTATTCTTCGGAAACTCCTTTAGTTGTCTTTCACGAGACTTGCGGGAAGAGATGACATGGCGTCACATGGCGATATTCTGGACCGAACCACACACCTGAAAATTCGACAAATTTTGATTTACTGCACCATTCTTTATTCACAGAAGTTGTTCGTGGAATGGAAACATGTTAAGTCCATATAATAATTATACTTAGATAAATTGGTACGTGGCCAAAATAGAACCAGATATAATGGACAGTGGTTTAACTACATCTGCAGAATGATAATGGTAAAATCGTAGTAGAAGTCGAGATAAATAGACGTAAAAATTATAATCACGTGCTCCTAAAATATTATTAACGTTTAAAACTGCGAGGAATGAGACATTATGAGTATCATTACGACAGCTGTGTCGTAGAGTTATAGTGTGACAAAAAATAATGTAGATGAATGTTGAAGGCGAGGGTCGCACCGATAAGGACCCACGTTAGAACCTGATGAATTCACGTTGAGGATTAGCCCTTACAATATGAGCACAATTTCACAAATGCCAAGGGTCTAAGGGTGACAAATGCTGGCGTGAACGTAGCACAATTTATTCGCGGTGTCCCATCTTACATACACCTCGCCTTTAAGTATATTTTCTAATAAAAATGGTAATATGAAATATTTTTAACGGGCTTATGTGAGTTCATGCGTTGTTGTAAAATGCGGCAGCTACGAGTATGTCCTCGAGATCTGGATAAGCTTGAAACTGATAAGTTAAAAAGAAAATAATTGGATAATGTAAGGCGCTTCGTTTAAATGTTGTAATACTTTAACGTTTCGACAAATCACGACTTAGTGACATAATGAGATTAATATAAAAATAAATTATACAAAAACTTTAGATGAACACCTAAAACCATGTCATCATTGTACGTAGTGTCATTTCTTTATTCATCATTTCTTCAAATGTATACTAATATTATAAAGCTGTTTGTTTGAACGCGCTAATCTCAGGAACTACTGGCCCGATTTGAAAAATTCTTTCAATGTTAGATAACCCATTTATTGAGGAAGGCTGGCTATACGGCTATATAACATAACGGTAAGGCCAATACAAGTGGAGCACCAATAAAGAATGTTTCAAAATTAGGGGTTAAATATTTTCACAAATATTTTCACTTTCTACATAAATGAAGTGGGGGTAAAATTTAACGTTATGCCAAAATAACTATTCCACGCGGACGGAGTCGCGAGCAAAAGCTAGTACTAGTTGTATAGCAATACTGTTATTAATAAAATTGTCCATAAATTAGGGGCTTAATCAGATTTACTACAAATAACTGTAATAGAATGACACAAAAAAGACTTTCACGAAATTCAATAAGGTCTTTTATAAAAAGGTTCCAAAAATTCAATCACACAATTACATTTATTAAGTAGGACCTTCAAGAAAACCTGCGTAAAACGCACTTTTCATTACTTTCTTTAGTAACGTCGAATTCGCAATCACATTATAAAAATAAAAATAAAAACCAAATAAATTTCCGAAAACGAAATATTTAATCTCCGTAAACGCGATAAAATTGAATTCGGATGAAATGATTATTGTCAAATGGCTTCGTGTTTTTCCTACCGATCGCGTTCGATTTTAAACAAATTGCTTACTCAAACATCCGTTGCGAATTATAAACATTTTCTGTTTACTTTCCCCTCTCCGCTGCCGATATTCATACGAGATCGTCATTGGAAAATTGCTGATCGGTTCGCAGTCAATAAAAAGAGAATAACGTAACAGGGTTGATGGGGCTCGGTCGTTGTTTTTGGACTCTAGGGAGTAACTGGCTGTTGATCTAATTTACCAATGGAGCAAGGGTTGTTCGAAGTTTGTACGGAATGCGATCGCTTGGTTTTTGCGGACCGCAATAAAAAGGGTAAGAAGGAAATGACACATGCAAAGCCAAGAATGCAGCTTACTTATACATTCAACCCTCAAAATGTCGTACTTTGCAAGCAGTCATATCGTTATAAACAATCTATCTAGATATATATAAATGAATTGCTGTTCGTTAGTCTCGCTGAAACTCGAGAACGGCTGGACCTATTAGGCTTATTTTGGTCTTGAGTTATTTGTGGAAGTGCAGAGAAGGTTTAAAAAGTATATAAATATGAAAACGCTCGGAATTAAATAAAAATAACAATTTTGTTTTCCCTTTTATGACTCCCCGTCGGACGGATTCCTTGTGTTTGTTTAAAGTTTATTTTATACAAAAATTTAGGTATTTTATTTATCGATTGAGGCACTACGAAGTCTGCTGGGTCAGTTAGTTTCAAATAAAATTTAACTTATCTGTGATTTGTCAAATACAAATAAAAGCCTGTGTTTTAAGAAAGTCATTTAGATAAACAGAAAGTTAGCTGTTATCCGCTACTAGCAATACAAAACGAAATGTAATTACAAGGCGGTATGCTAAAACGAATGAATAGGTAACGTAATTATCAATTTGGTCCATGTCAGAGTGTCAACACAATTAAAGACACGTTTGTAATTATCTATTTAGTTACTGTGACCTTTACCTGTACTCCACAAATCGATACAGGCGCTGTAAAGACTAAAGACTTACCTACTCAAATTTAATTGTAATTTTCTTCATGCTCAGTTATC